CTCTAATGCAAACCAGCTATAATTCACCTTGGTCTACTAAAGTGCTGAAAGACTTTACACCAGCCAAGTTGTGAGAGCTTAAGCAAGTTACAGACTTCACCCAAATCCACATTAGCATGTCCTAAATTATTTCAGCTGCAGGGTCTTTGGATACATGTCCGACCATCTGGCACAGTCCCTACTTGCAGTACATGCTGGAAGAACTCACAAGTTTGTAAGTGCAGAGTGAGATCTTAACGAGAATACCAAGTTGAATTGTTTCACTTTTTTATTTTTTTAAAGCATTAAGACACTTGAACTTCATTGCTTTTGTTCAGTAGATATATAAAAAAAAACTCAGACAATTTATTTTGCTTCTTTTACTACATCTGTAAGCAGCATTAACCAAAATAGCGGCTATTCCTCCACTGAGCTGACATCAGTCCCATGGTCTCTACCTTTCTAGTCAGCCCTGTTCCCGCATCGCAAGTCAGAAGTGCTTCTCCTGTACCTATGGAGCTATTGTATGTATGTGTGGTACTGTATGGAGTTATTTCGTGGTGCTCGAACACTGGAGCAGAAAGAAGTCACTGATCTGCAGCAGCTGCTAAAGCTGGGAAATGACCCCCATAAAAGGTTCTTCTCATACCTCAGGCAAGAGCAAGAGTTCATTGCTGTAGGCCACTCTGAAGCACTCACATAGTACCAATTGTGAACATTGGTAAATGATGTTTACACCTGTTCACTTCTTCAGTGGAAATAAAATCCCTGTAGACATAAGGAACTATGCCTGTGCTTTGTGGAAAACCTGACCCTTGTCCCAGTGATTGGCAGCAAATTCCAATGAGAAAGATAGATGGAGAGTGGGGTCAGGCTCTGAAAAAATGGTGGGTGGATGCTGGTTAATCCTTGCAAATCCAGCTGAGAAAGAACTTGAAAGAAACTCTTGCAAGGGAAGACTAAAGGATACAGCAATGGCAAAAGAATAGAAGGAAAATGTACACGTGCTGGCAGAATGAGTAGCAAGAGAGTAGCAAGAATCAGTTAATCACCCTGCTTTTGTTTACAGAAGATTATAGAAGTTTTCCACTAAAACAGTGGTCCAGAACCCAGAACACAACCGTCCACCTACCAACCCTTCCACAAACTAAATGAGCAAGCAGCTTAAAACTTCTGTGCCTCAGTTTCACTGGTTTTAAAACCTTTGTTTCTCTTCTGCATCTACATAACTGCGCTGTACAAACAAGTCAATTAGTAGTTGTGACTGTATCCCAAATCTTTTCTTATCCTTAATGAGCTGGAGTGAAAAAGACTCAGTTTAGGAGACTATTTTTGAGAAAATAATTTTTATACTTTTCTTGCTGAATACACAAGCTAAGGGGAAAAAAAAAATGAAGAGTGGTTTGGCAAGAAACCCTGCGAGTATAAATACCCATCCAGTCTCTGTGCAGTGGTGGCGTACCAGGAGGAGGGAGGAGTACACAGACCAACAGTTACAATTGGGCACTGATGAGCAGGAACGGGGTAGTGGTCAGAGCAAAACTTGTTACCTGTGAAGCCTACAAGGCTGCTCTGTGTTTGGATGCATAGTGCTGTCATAGAGCTGTTCTGCAGCACCATGGGTGAGATCATGGAATTCTACAGTTTATTTGAAAATTTGGTAGTTTGTTACTACACCTGCCGTCTGAGGTTTAAAAGACACAGACTCTTTAAAGACTATAAACCTTCTAACTCCATCAAGTGCGAAACTTTTTATCGTTTCGCTGCAAAACCTGTTCTGTAATTTATTCAAATACTGACTCATCTTTGTCAAACCACCAAACTGATATTATTCCAGCCTATCTTTAGAAAGCTGTCTACATGACATCAGTTACAGTGGATAACTTAGGCTGCATTAAAGTTATGCAAAGAGATTATGTTACAATAAAATTATACAAAAGGATGCATAAAAAGGAATGGGAGCATCTATGCCTCCACCCTTCTTAGACAAGCAGCAGCAGCTCCCCACAACAGCCCTCAGCTATAACTGTTTATGAGTATTTCCACTCAGGGCTATATTGGCTCGAACACCCGAGTCACTAATCGATGCTACCCTGTTTGATCCTGCTGGAAGGTGGACTAGTGCTAGCAACCCAGGATGCTATAATCTGTCTCCAAAGGTAAAGTCTACTTGGAGCTTCCTGCTATTCCCTGAACCTGTCTACTTATTTCTGCTTCTTCAGGTGCAACTCAGGTGTCCTGGTGGAACTAATTCTAGGGCTGCAGTAAACTACAAGAGAAATGACTGTAGCTTAACAATAAAAGTATTGACAAGCGTGGAAGGTTGTTGTTTCATTCATGCATAGCCAGGAACTTGGAGACAGGAAGAGGATGCTCCTGAACTGACTTTGCCAGCAGCAACTGTGGCACATATGCTGTGATGTTAAACTTTCATGAATAATAGGAACTTGAGTATAACAGTAAGGAGCAGAATCCTTCAACCTAGCAAGTTCACTATTTTTTTTACAGCCATGTACACATCTCTACCAGGGCACAAGCTAGCAGATCTGAGCCTGCTTCTGTAGTCTTCCTCTCTCCTGGTGCCAGCACTTAGGTCATCCAGTCTATTCTCTCATTTTCAGGCAGGACCAATTAAATGTGGAAACCACTCCAGATAAACTTGTTTCTAAACCCCCCTCTATGGGACGCAATTTCTCCCTCTTCTCTGTACTGTGCATGATAGAGAAACTATTCTATTTATTTTAAAATAGCTTATCTCAGAATGATACCGCACCCTCAATCTCAGTCTCAGATGGAAAGTGATAAGCCTTTTCCTGCAGGAGCTGTTTTCTGTCTACCTGATGGTTCTCGTTCTCCTCTGGTCTCTCAAAAGCAGTTTTCTATATGGGCAACGATATTCAGCTGAAGTCTTCATAGCATGCTTAAGGTTGGAAGGGACCTCTAGAGATCTTCTAGTCCAACCCCCCTGCACACACAGGGTCACCTAGAGCACATGGCACAGGACTGCATACAAGCGGGTTTTGAAGATCTCCAGGGAAAGAGACTCCACAACCTCTCTGGGCAGCCCGTTCCAGTGCTCTGTCACCCTCATTGTGAAGAAATTTTTCCTTAAGTTCCTGTAGAACTTTTGGTGTTTCAGTTTGCGGTCATTACCTCTAGTTCTGTCAAAAGTCTTACCACAGATCTTGGAGCCCTTCGGAACATAAGTTGTACTATCACCCTGCTTTGATCCTAAATGTTTCAGGGGTGGCACCATGCCTGGTGAAAATATGAAGGGATTTCTAGATATCCACAGGAGACATTTCTTGGTACAGCAAATAAAATCACCACTTAGCTTCATAACAGGCCTAGATATAGCCAATAATGCACTTAGACTGCCTATGCACTGGAAAAGACAAATCCAGTAGTTGAGATGAACACCTTGAGATTTCCTAAAAGGTCTGGTCTTCTAAGCATAAAAAGAGGGAATCCTCCTGATACCAAGGCTGTGAAACAGAAATGGTCCATAAAAGCATGATAGTAAGAAATAACATTGATAAGATGACTTCTAGCTTAAGCAGAATTTTGGAACTAAACGGGAAGGAATGGCATATATCTGAAGAAATATTATCTTTAAAGATGTTGTTTTCAGAGACATGCTAAACATGAGTGCCTGAATTCCCCCCACACAGCCCATTTCCCTCTAGACAAGAAGGGGAGAAAAGAAACGAAAGATTCAGAAGACCCACAAGAATCTGTAACACAAGCAGGTGTGTTCTGGCAAGCCCTTACATACATAAAAGGTAGGATACAGGAACATGGAAACACAGTTGACTGGAGCATGATTGGCAATGACAACAGCAAGAGGGGTTTTATCAAATTAAGAGAAAATCTCATCTTCTCCAGGTCCAGGAGATATCCTAAAATGATCAAAACTTCGAAGGAGTAAGCCAGAAAGTGATCCAGACTGCTCTGCGGGGGAAAACTGGAACACTTTGATATATGACGAGGCACATTCTGCACTGTGAGATGGCTGGTTGTCATAGCAGAGAAAGTTCCTAGCCTCTAGGACAAAAGATTCATCAGGAAAAAAGAGAGGCCTTGGAGCCTTCACGGAGAGAGAAGATGGCCCTGGTTATGCCAGAGCTAGCAGGATCACTAATGCTCTTTTCCCATTTTACCCAGATCAAGGGTGATTAAAGCATTAGAAAGCACATAGCAGCACACCTGGCTGAACGCATTAGTACCCCTGGCAACGTTCTGGAACATCAAACTGCATCTCCAAGCTACAGTCCAAAACGACAACCCTCCTTTGGCCAAGCTGCCATGGCATGAAGAAAACAGACATATAAACCGCAGAAAAACTAACCTTGTGTGCTATCCATTATGTTTAAATTTTTGTTCTTGCACAATGAGGCTTAGGAACTTGGTTCCTACTTGTGTGGTATATTGCTGTCAACCTGCCCATCATAATGTAAAACATGACAGTACTTGAGCTTCCCTTACTGTCTTCTCTGATAGAGCTATGATTTTAGTAGCTCTGTCTCTACCCCATGCTAGTTTCACCTCCATTATTCATTTCTGTAATTTTTCACATATTGAAATGATTAGTTTATCTATTCAAATCCACCCTCCGAAGAAATATGGATAAATAACAAAAACAGCAAATCTTCTGCATTTTTCATTAATTGATTCATCTCATTAACTGATTCCAAATTCACAGCTTCTACTAATTTATTCATTCTTCAGTGAAATAAGCTGCCTCATCTTTCAAAATGCTGAGGAGATGGGAAATTAAAAGAAAAGAAGCAGAGGAAAAAACAGGAGGAGGAAGTAAGGAACCCTTGTTTAAGTACAGATATTTCAATTCAAGCTTCATTTTGGCTTCTGGAGAGCTGAAAGCAAATCTAGGGGCTTTGGTTTCCTGAAAGAGCTGGCACTTTAGAGAGAAAAAAAAAAAAAAAAAGTACTCCCTGGTGTATCCCTCTGACCTTTGCAGTAAGTAATGTCAGATGAAAACCTGATTTTTTTGGCTACTAATTTCACAAATGAAAAAGCAAAAAAACTACTGTTTAAGGTATTAAATATTTTTACATGCAACCAAACAGGCATTATTCACCAACCATATGTACATTTCAGAGGTGCAGGCATAAATGTCAGTGCTATAATTTGTTAAACGCTTCTGACAAACAGCAACTTAAATCACCACAAATTTTCACAATTTAAACCACTTTTATGTAAATTTAAACTTTTCCTAAAACAGCTAAATATAATTTTCCCAACCATGCTGAGCAAGGCTTTTGAAAAACTCATGGAAAATATTACTTTTTTTCATTACTTTGGAATTTAAAGATTTAGAATATTTTTGCTTCTTTTTGGTCTTTAATACAAAACTGTTAAAATTCAAAAGTTAACAAATTAAATATAACCACTCTCACAATAACCATTTTTAACACAGTAAACTACATTTCATTCTGAAAACAATTATATCACTATTTTTCACTTACCAGACATGAAGCTGGGCTACTAGAAACCATGAATTCAAAGTATCAGGCATATGGCATCCTTGGAGAGAGGAGAACCAGGAAAAAAAAAAAAAGTAAAAACCAAAACTAAACATAAACATGAATTTCAACACTTTCTGCCCCTATCAGAAATTCACTAAACTAAAACTTAAATACATTTTAGTAATTTAGTTTCTTGCCCCAAACAGTAGATATTTATCAGAAACAAACAGTATTCACTGTTTGTTTCACATATGCCTAAACTCTGTAACATGCAGCCACATGACACCGTAGATTTCCAAAGAATGCATATGGTTAGAACTCATTAGGGCAAAAATTACAGAGGATAAAGTGCACAGTGAAAAATCAAGCAGAAATCCGTGGCTGTGGAAGTCCCAAAGCGGTAAAGAATACTAGGGAAGTGACACTGGATGTGGTGCCCAATCCATGCACCCTCCTTCTGGTACGTGCTGCGAGATGGATTTGGGTTTGCCCTAGCTGTTCAGGTTTACCACAGCGTATAAGCCACAGCACTGTGAGCTACATGGCCTCTAGTCAGTCCATTTGGGGATTAAAGCAACTGATAAACCAGAGTAACGATTGCTATTACCAGATTTAGTTCTGCTGTCAGACTCTCCTCTCTAAATTTCGGCTTCCTCTTAAGAAGCCTCCTCCACATCTCGTTCCTGGAGAAGTCTTAGGAGCAACAGCCAATGTGAGGGATCCAGATCTGACACAGTTACCCCGGCCTGTGCAGCACCTGGCCTTGTCATCTGACCTAGTCAAGTTTAGTTGTAGGAAGGCCAGAAAATGAGTCTCCAATATGATCTATCCCAAGGAAATCAAACTGATCTTTTCTTGTGTTTGAACATATGCCTTCCCGACTTCTACACTTTCTGGCTTCCACCTATTACCAAGGAGATTCAACAGGATCATGAAACAATGTTTTCATAACATTTCTTCACAGGCCCAAGCACGTCAGACAACCACCATAAAAAGTAAATAAATCATTAGTATTCCTCTCTCCTCAGAGAAAGGATTCCATGAGAGCGCAAGATTTGCTTCAGCATCAGCACCCATACATCATCTATGCCACTTCTAAGGCAGTATGAAGACACCAACATTCTATATTTGGAGATTAATCACAAGTTTTTCCCCAGTTCTCTCCACATTTAATGCTTGCACTCTTAAAAGAAATGTTTCATGCCTTCCAACAACTTTACTTTCACCCAAAGACATGCCATGGGCAACCTCCCTAATCGGGATAGAAGTACACAGTGTTTGCATTTAAACAAAACTATTTCATTGAGCAAGAGTGCCACAGACAAGATTCAGGGTGAAACACGTATCTCAACACACAGAATTTCTGAAGTAAAAGTCATTATCCATCAGTCTAATGTTTCATGCCTTCCAACAACTTTACTTTCACCCAAAGACATGCCATGGGCAACCTCCCTAATCGGGATAGAAGTACACAGTGTTTGCATTTAAACAAAACTATTTCATTGAGCAAGAGTGCCACAGACAAGATTCAGGGTGAAACACGTATCTCAACACACAGAATTTCTGAAGTAAAAGTCATTATCCATCAGTCTTCTAAAAGGAAAAAACAAACAAACAAACAAAAAATCCTTTATTGGAAAGCAAAGTTCATACTTCCACTGTTTTAGATACTGGAGGTTTTTTAGAGACCTATGCAATACCCAGGAAGGAAGAACTTTTTTTCTAACTTCCCAAAGTTGCACTTTATTTTGGCAATTCATCTAACTTCAACATTAAGACTGGGGAGGAAGGGTTGCATTAAAAGTGAATACATGACAACACAACCAGGTGGGCGTTCCTGTTTAGCAGGGATTCCATCAATACCAGTGCCCACAGTGACAGGGGAGGGTTGAAACAGAGAAAAGGGCTACAATAAATCATGTAGCAAAGACTCTGGGCTGCAGATTGACCCTGAAGAGACAGAAATTCTCCCAGACAACTTATTTAATTTACCTCTTTCAGGTTTCACAAACAACCAAAGCAGAGGACAGTACCTGATGGCAACATGAGCCAGAAACAGGTTCAGATCAAAACAACCTGTTTGGCATTCACTGGTCCGTATATATACAAAACAAAAATGCTTTTTAATAAAAGATAGTTTTGGACAAACAAATCTGTCCGGTATAAAATCAAGTCTGACACCCTATCCAAAATAGTGACTTAGTCTAAACTAGTCCTCATTGCTTCTCAGCATGGAAAAACTCTTCTTAGTTGTATCTAGGGAAAAGTTTTCTGCTATAACTTAAAGAATAACCTACCTATTCCAGCATAAAACACAAACTCAATCTACAATGTGATTTAAGAAGTCCCATGACAGGTGCAATGGAATATAAAGGAGATCACAGAGAAGGAAGTAATGGACATAGCTGATCTGAATTTATTCCAGAAATCAGTAACTAAAGGGCAAAGTCCTCCCTTGAACCAAGAAAGTCTGTATTTGGTTCAGGCTCCTAAGCATCCGCTTGCATCTTTCACTAAATTATTAGCATAGCTCAACAACACATGCAAAAGTGCAATTAAAACCTCTCAAAAGAAAATAATCCACAGCCACTCCCCTGACAGCACTTAATCACACATCACTTTAACAGTTCATTTTTTAAGCTATAGGCACAGAGTTACGCAGCAATTGAAGACTTCATCCTGAGGCCCTATGTCTCATTCAGCACTTCCTATATACGGATTGAACTTATTTTTACCAAGGGCTGCAGCTATTACCATCTTACGGCCACAAATATATATCTCATAGTTAAGTCAGACAAACAGGAAGCAATGAAGCCTCATCCTGTATCAGACAGGTTATACAGGTTATCAGCTCTCCTCACAGCAGACTTTACAAGCACTACCACAAGGAAAACGGTATGAATAGAGCCCTGCAACAAAGCTCACAGGCCTCAGACAAAAGGCTTGCCTTTAGAAATAAGTTTTTCCCCAAGAAATGCACTTCTAAAAACTGTGGGGTTTGGAGTGCCTTATTCCAGACTAGTGTGAAGACCTTTCTTCCAGTGAAGAAAGGTCTATCCTGTAACTAAACACGCTTAAATACAAAAGAATGTCAGATAGCAAAGCCAACTTCGAATTAACTGGGATATTAGATGGGGACTAAGTTTATTCCGCCTACAGAATACATCCTGTTCAGATGTCTGCATCTGATGAGCAACATGAATGCCAGGATTACAAGGACATATCTCTTTCTCCAGTAACATCTTGAATTTAAAATTCTTCTGGTATGGGAAGCAAATATGAACATAGAATTTCTTTTGTGATAGATCATCTTTGCAACTACCTTTTAGGAAAGATGCAATGGAACAATATCGCTGCACATTACGTTGGGCTTCAACTCTTAAAGCATGACTGACATTGACAGAAGCAGGTGCCTTGTAAGATGCCTGAAGGCCTAAGGAAGGCAGAAGGATCTAGAGAGCTGTTTGGGCCCTTTTGAGGTCCATAATAGCTCCACTAAGAGCTATTTGAAATGCTGTTTTGATAGGACAGGCTCTTTGCCCCTGCAACAGTATGACAACATAGCAATTAAGAGCTCAAGATAAATTCAAGTCACCATACACTCCACATCCACTAGGCAAACTTTTCAGCTCAGCTCTCAGCAACACCAAACTGATCCTGAAAGCTCTCCTGGTCTTCCAAGTGTAAGGATAAGCATGAAGCATTTTCTTTGCAAGGAGTTTATTTTGTTAAAACTTCGTTTGTTTTGTTAAAACTGCCCAAGTCCCATGAGCTTTATGCACAGAAAGTCTGGCACCAGTAATGTTGCTAGTCCCTCTGCTACTTCTCTGTTCTCTTTCTTTATATAGGTAACTGCCTAAGTCCTCAGTTAGACCGTGAGCCACATTTCACACACCTTTGTATGTCACAGAGGCTTCATGATCTGCATAGCCTTGGTCCATACTTTGTGAACAGCTGCTCCAATGCCATAACAGGGCAAGGGGCAGTTCCCAGGGCTCACACTGTATTAAGGGGTTCTCTTACAAGTTTCTAAGCATCAGCAGAGAGGCACTGAGAGAGCATCATCTCTTATGGCCTATGAAGTGCTCTCATCATTGTCCTCATCCTCAACAACACAGCAGCCAACCCTTACACTCTATGTCACCTGTATCAGAAAACCAGCTTACAATATCCAGATCCCACAAGGTCAAGCCTCAGTCATTAGTCATATTAACAAACTAACCACCTCATAAAAGCACGCCCAGAAACACTGAAGATGGCTCTGTGAAGAGCTAGTTTTGATCACACAGGGTTAATTAGTCCACAGATAGTTTTGCACACACATGGACATACTGTTTCCAAGGCCAGCTCAGTAGGTTAACGACTTTCACGAATTGCAAAGGAAAAGCTAATGAGCTCTCCGGAGACCTGAGCTGACTGTGCAGAGTTCGCTTGGATACCTCAACACTAGGCAACTAGAGCCAGAAGTGCTAGTGGAAGCAACGCATAAATACACTAATAGGTCCACCCACAGTCAGCTTTGGCTCAAATAGGCCTGAGATGGGTCCCTTGCAGGAACCTTGCTAGGAATTGCAGTGCAATTCAGAAGCATTAGCATGCAGTACCTGCACCAACAGATACAGGCACTCCTAGACTTGCTTCATCACACAGGAACAAAGTTAAGGTAGTTGTTCCCTGTTCCTGGCTGCTCCTCTGGGATTAAGATGTGATCCTTGCTTAAATTCTGCCCATCTTCATTTGAAAAAGGATCAGTTTAGAAAGGAAAAAACTGCTCCCAACTGACCTAACTGGATGAATACACACTGAACTAAATGCTTGCCATCTTGCTCCACATCTTGTTCCCCTCTCTTAAGTGCGTATTACCCCACCACTACTGCCCATCACAAGCTCCCATCTGCCACTTAAATTCATTAACACTGCAAAACAGTAAGCCAGCACATGCACACAAAACAGGCAGGTTTCCTTCAGTGAGCTGAACAGTTTACAGGACACGACAATTACCCAGGCAGAGGGTCTACATGTACAGAAGAGGGAAGATGAAGCAGCAAGCCCTTTCCTTTGGGCCACTGTTTCAACTCAGCTGCAAATGGAACCACAGTCTAAGGCTTCTTAATTGGGAAAACCAATTTAAAAGGTTCTTGCCCACCTCACCCAGTCTGCCTTTAACATGAATCACATGCCTGTTACGGTTTAGAGCCAATCCCAAAACCAGCTGCAGCTGTAAGTAGACAGAAGTAACAGAAACCTCTTATATTTGTTTTTCTATCAGAGCAATGCTTTCCTTGGAACCACAGCCCTGGACCCCCAAACCACAGGCATTCTCACAGCATCAATGGGTGCCATCAAGCACTCTGTCAATCTCAACAACCTCTATCTAGTTCCCTTATCCAACACCACTCTCAAATGGACCAGAACACAGGCTTCCCTGGCTGTAAACTCAGAGCTGGACTGGCTCTAAGTTGTGCTGCAGAGAGAAAGACAAAAGGAGTTGTGAGGACACTCCCCAAGAGAGCAGAGAAACTTGAGGGAAAGGCCATTTTTGGTAGGGCTGAAGAGAGGCAGAGCTCTGGGATCTTTCTTACTTAAAATGGTAAGGCAAAACCAAGAATACAATTGAACTCATTTTATTCAGAACTGAACCTGAAAACTTGTGCCAAATAAAGAAATTTCAAAATATGGCTGAGAAAATAATACCATTTTTAAAAGTTTTTAATTTAGAGCAACATTTATATACATTTTAACAATTAATATGATAATCAAAGATGGTGGAACCCAGTTAAAAACAGCAAAAGCTCTCTCTGAGAGGCAACTATGAAAAACATAAGAACTTAAACCTTTGGAAAACCCTGCAGCTGTAACACCATATACCAAGACATCATGAATACACTCTTCACCAGATGGACACAGAGTTGCACCTTCAGCTCATCTCTCAGGAGGAGATGACAACAGCTCCCACCTGTGCTCGTGCATTTTAAGGCCATAAGAAAGCATTTGATGACTCAGGAAGTCAACTGACAGGCCAAATCCAAGCAATAGATTTACCACCACCTGGATCACACTGTCATAGTTAATTAGGAATTCACATAAGAATGAAATTACAGAAGCTTATGTAATGATACTAATAAAGCAACAGATTTTTGGCTGTCAGTTAAGGAACTGTGAGTTACATGGAAAAGTCAAAGAATCACAGAATGACTGAGGTTAGAAGGGACCTCTGAAAGTCATCTAGTGCAACCCCTTTCCTCGAGCAGGGCCACTGAGATCACATTGCCAAAGAACCTGTCCAGTAGCTTCTGAATATCTCCAGAGAAGGAGACTCTATAACCGCTCTGGGTAACCTCTCCCCTTCAGCCACCTTCACAGCAATTAAGCTTTTTTTTTATATTCAGGCAGAAATTCTTGTGTTATAGTTTGTGTCTTGGGCCTCTTGGGACCACCGAGAAGAGTCTGGCCCCATCCTCTTACCCCTATCCCTTCAGCTATTTAGGCACATTGATAAGATTTCCACCATACCCCAGTCTTCTCCAGGCTGAGGAGTCCCAGCTCTCTCAGGCTTTTCCCATAGGAAAGATGTTCCAGACCCTTTATCATCTTTGTGGCCCTTTGCAGGACTCACTCCAGTAGTTCTCTTATATTAGGGAGCCCAGAATAGGGCACAGTGCTCCAGACGCAGCCTCATCAGGGACGAGCAGAGGGCAGATTGCCTCCCTCAGCCTGTTGGCCATGCTCTTCCTAACACAACCCAGGAGAGCATTGGCCTTCTTGGCCGCAAGGGCACGTTGCTGGCTCTTGGTCAACTTGTTGACCCAGTACTGACTGCTGGGAGATACCACTAGCCACAGGCCTTCATCTAGACTTTATGCCACTGATCACAAACCTCTGAGCTCTGCCATTCAGTCATTTCTCAGTCCACCTTTCTGTTTGCTCATCTAGTCTGTACTTCCTGAGCTTGCCTATGAGAAAGTTATGGGAGCTGTTCAGAGTCTGCCTTTGCACACTTGCCACTGTTGGAGCTTAAGAATGTGGTGTAGTATAATCAACTTCTACTTTACTATGCACTGCTAGGCTCTGGCAACCCTTGCTTCTGTCATGTTTACTGATATAAATATATCTGAAATATATCGAAATTCTAACACCACCAGACCTGTAACTTACTGTTAAAAAATTCCTCATAGTCAGTCTTCTCCACACAGCATGTGTACATGCGCAGAGCTGCTACCTTAATTTTCTAGAAAAAGAGAAAACAAAGAATTAGAGTATTCATCATGAGACCTAATGAATGCTATTGTTTTGTTAAATACATACATATACAACCTTCTTCTGAGAAGACTTCTCTTAAAAACTGCAATCATTTGAGATTTTTAAAAACACATTAATATCTCCCAGGAATAACAGAAGAATAATTAATCTTGCTTTGAGGCAATAAACTGACCATATGGCTTGAGATTTCCCTTCCAAAAATAATTTAATAATACTTTTTATATAAAAATAAAAGTCTTTTTTTTAAAAGATTGCAAAGAAACCCATTCACAATCCCTGGCTTCCTCCTATAACTTTAACTGCTGATGCATACAGCTCAAAATGCCTCGTATAACTTCATTTTCGAACAATAAAAAAGTGATGTGACAATTACCTAAACGTCTTTTTCCACTGCATGAATCAAAATCAACCAACCAAACCATACAGTATGCAAGATCCTTTTGCACATATAATTCTTTTCTTGCTGTCTGCCATCACACCAGAAACACTTTTAGAGCATCATCTATAGCTAAGATACATGTGCTGAAGTTTCAAAGAGCACAATAACTGATAGTGGAGATCACTGAAAAGAACTGCCAGCTATTCCCTCCTCTGACGTTAAGAAGGGAAATTATAAACTTAAACTCCACAGCCAACTCCCCTGCCAGATAAGGGCCAGGTTAGAAGGAACCAGCAGGCTGGGTTTTGCTGTTGTTGTTGTTTGTTAAAGCATAATCTACTAGGAAACCTCTTCGTGCTCATCACACTGCAGAGGTGAACACGTGTCTAGCACCCGCACTTCATGCTTTTAGAATGGCAATTCCAAGCACCAAAACATTATTTACATCTTCTCTGACCAAAAGGAAGGTAAGGAATCTGCAGCTGTTCTCCTGCTGTGGAAACACAGGAACCACTGTGTTTCTTATTTCACAGTCACAGGTCTGCTGTCATAAATAATGGATTAGAAGCTCTCAGTATTCAATTATATCAAAATCCTCGCAATAAAATAATTTACAACACTTTTGGAGTTCTGAAGATTTCCACTTTAAAGGAAACACCACCTGGCCTGTGGGTAGAGTATCTTTCCAGCATAACTTAACGCCCCTGATCAGGCATTACTAGATACTAAAATCGCATTATAAGGAAGATTCCCTGCCATGAAGCCCTTAAATAAGGCAGATAACACTTGGAAAGAACTGGTGAAATTTCATCACTGAGGTTTTGGTGTGCAGAAGAGGTAAGCAGACAGGAAATTTTCTTACTATTTTTTTCTCTACTTTTACTCTTTCAAAATCTCAAAGAGTACTGGCAAGGCCAAAAATGAACTCAGGTCTCCTGGGTCTTAATCACAAAATAATTCTCTCCAAACTCAAGTTCCCTAGGCAAAAGCAGGCAGTAAAGCACAGCAAATTAAGAGAACTCTCAATCAACACTTACAGCTAAAAAGAATCTTTATTACAACAACATATACATGAATACATGAAAGGATTACTCTCTCATGAGCCTTAGCATCACTTGACTAAAAGCAACGAACCTAAACCAAAATACCTCACCCTCTTAAGTGCAAGTTATCTTTCCTTTATATTTACCTACTGTCAAGAAAGATGCAATTGGCAACAGTTTCAGATCAGTCCCGGAAAAACTATACTATATCTTGCAGACTTTCAAGATGCCTTACAGGGTTTTAATTTCTGCAGTTTCTTTCAGTCCTCCTAGTTACACCATCTTCTCCACTGACTCCTTTATACTTTGCTCATAGCTAAGGAGATCTGAATTCCAACTCCTTTCAGCAGAAGGCATCTCACAGAGCTCTTGTTAAGTCCCTGTTAACAACTGCATTATGAAAGGATTACATAGAAAACTCCCAAGAGAAAAACCTATTTGTGAGTTGGCCCTGGACAGCTTACTATTGAAAAGCAGCTCTTACCAGCAATGACGACATACATCCCTACTGTCTGCTTGGGAGCCTCTCCTGTCCCAGAAAGAGAAGGCTAAGGAAGAGGTCTGGAAACAGGCAGCAAAACTGAGAAACATGAAATGGCCTCGGTAACAGAAACAAGTTAGACTAGGTCCGCTTAATTTAGAAAAAGTCAGTTATTATAGGGTATAAGGGTCTATAAAATTAGGAATGGAACAAACACTCAAATACTAGAATAATCAGTATTTTTTTTAATACAAGAAGCAGAACTTCTTCCACAATGAGTACATAAGCTATGGAACTGCCACATAAAGAATGCTATGGATGCTGTAAGCTTGGAAGAGTCTGAAGGGTAAGTGAACAAATTTATAGAAAGAAAAAACAAAAAATCAAGAAAAATTCCTATTCTACTTCAAGAAGTTCTGAAACAGACAATTGTTGTAAGCTGGAGGAATGCATAAGAAAATGTCTTTATATGCCTTGTCTGTAATTAAAATATTTCCAGAGGACTGCTATTGGTCATTAACAGAGACACAACACTGCTCTGTGTGGATCTTTGCTCTGATGCACAAATACAGTGGGAAATACAGTGGGAGGCTTGAAGAAATTCAAGGTAGCTTAAGACTCCTCTATGAACTAAATAAAAAATTTCCAGTTATGTCAGTGATGGAAATACATAAATCAAGGCAGGTTCAAGCTCTAGATTACTATTTCCTTTATCACAAAATGGAAATTTATGTAGGTAATAAATAGGATTATTCCACACCAGCATTCTTCTTATTGTAAAAGAAGAACAGTTTTAGTGTTTTTTAGAATGCTAAAAGTAATAAGCAACCAAAAGAAAAATCATCAAGCAAATGCTTTACCCATCTGCTATATTTCAGTGGTCCTGTGAATCCCATTGCTTCTATTATCCTTGTGAAGGCACCCACTTTCTCTTCAGATGGCTGCAATGAATCCTTTGCAGTAAGATGCTGCAGTGTAAAAAAACAAAAAACTATCACATATTTCTATCCCAGCAATTTAATCTTACAAATCATTTTATCTGGATCAGCTAAAGTCTAAATGCTAATACTAGCTCTTTTTTTCCTTGAATTACCTTCCTAATGCAAGAAACAAAATCAATACGTATTTAGATACTCTCTACAAAATATTCCTTTATAACCTATTTAATGGTTCCTGGAACATCAATAAGAAAGGTCAGATTTAATATACATATCAGACAGCAGAAAACATCTTTGGACACTTTCCATATCATATAAGAACATGTCCCAGGGCTCAGAATCTTTTATGGTTATCTAGCATGACCTCAGCATGCCACAAAAAAGCAGGCTACTCAGTGTTCCTGCTCAAGACCACAAAGCAGCTAAGCTTCGTTACAACTAGCAGAAAATTAGGTAATTTACTTTTAAGGATTTCAACTGCTCAACAGCCTAAACAAATATTTTGATGAGTAATATTGCATGTATTTAAGTATTTGAAAATAACACAAAGACGTTATCTAGGCAAACCTAGGATCCAGTAAACAACATTAGAATAGAAGTTTAATTTAGTACTTTTGTTTCACTAACAAATTCCAAATTTTTTTCCAAGCAAACTTACAAGCCTAGAGTCTAAAGCTAAAAACAAACAAACCAACAAAAAACAATCATTATTTGACATCCAAGGAAGAAAAAAAGATAGAGGGGAAAAAAAAAGAGTGGCTGATGCCCCAGAGGGCTGCACTGCCATTCAGAGGGAAGCTCATGGAGCTCAACAAGGGCAACTGCAGGGTCCTGCATCTGGGGAGGAAGAACCCCTGGCACCAGGACAGGCTGGGGGTTGACCTGCTGGAGAGCAGCTCTGCAGGGAAGGACCTGGGGTCCTGGTGGCAAAGTTGACCATGAGCCAGGAACGTGCCCTTCTTGTGGCCAGGAACGCTGTGGGATCCTGGGCTGCAGAAGGAAGACCTTGAATTTGGTACTAAGCAAATCTTAAAGAGTTGGCTCCTGCTCCAGAAGATTTCTATTTCAATAGAAATACAAGGACAGAACATAAATTAATAATATTGATGAACAGCACCTAGAATTAGTCATTATTAATATACTGGATGGCAAATTTAATGCTTCAGCAGATAGCAAAACTGTTGGCACGTTGTCTCTTGTAATACAGAAGGAAAACTTCCTTCTTTGAAGAATGGACTCTTTCCTAACTGCGCTTGTCATGGAACTCTCCAAACAAATAACCCATTTGTGACCAGGTTTTCTTATGTTAGCACTCCTTTTTCTGTTATGGAAAACAGCACCTCTCAAATTATCAGTTACTGTTAATGCTGAATTAAAACACTTTATGCAATAGATGAACCACCTCCCAAACATTTTCTAAAACATTTTATGTTACCTGTACCTATATAACCCCCAGCATAGCATGTCCTCCAATAATAAAAACAAAGTCTTCTAACCTTATTTGTATTGTAAAATGATCTATTTTGCTGGGCAGCGGCTCCATGTGCTTGAGTCAATCCACTACAGACATTAGGCAGTCGGAATCGGCCAGTCTTGTGCCTCTAATAAAAGTGGTAAAAGAAAAAAAGTGAAGAGACCGTTTGATAATGAACACTTAACTTTACACCAGTTGCTCTTAACTTGCTTCCAAGCCAATTGTGGTTCATTCTAAACCTATAGAACTTTGTATCACATAAAGCGCACATTTATTACCATAACTGTTACAAATAAGCAGGTTGCCATACGTAATGTTCCATATAACTTATTTTCTAGTGCTCTGCAAGTGTGCAGATGGAATGGACTGGCAAATTACTGCACTCAAAAACCACAAGCTATGCTCTTTGGATTTTCTGAGAAACTAATCCTATTTATGTTTTTTGTCTCTTACTACATACTTTTTTTTTCCTAGCCTTGCAGAGAAACAGAGTTTAAGACAACCTTATACCCCATCCAAAATGTCCTTGTGGACAGGACTTGAGCAAAACAAGTTATCGGGGAATACATATGCATCTCTATAACCTTTACATGACACACGATTAGTAAAATGGAGATATTCTGTGCTAATGAGAGATATCAAGGAGGAGAGAGGGGGATCCCCTAGGGGAACACCTGTCCTACCTCCCTACCATGTCCAGAGTAGCAGTAATTTACTTATCACTAAACTCAAGTGTGGGCAAGGTAAATACACTGTTTCATGTGGCCTCGTCATTCCTGGGATTGTACTTTGGGCCAAAATAGGGGTTCAGAGTACTTGTAACTTTCTCAATGAACTTCACACATGCTTATTTTCTGCAGCACTCCCAACATGGTAGGCTACTTGATATGGAACGAGTGTTTAATTGTATGGCAACATACAATTAACAGTTCATTTCTCTGGCAATGAAAGGATTAATCTGAGGAAAGACATCAAAGAGCTTAAACATAAGAGTTTCTAACTATGTGTGATATAGCTGGCTGTGATATACAGAAGAACAGAAAAGAAGTTGAACAGTCTTCTCTGATTTCATTTTATGCCACACCAATACACCCTAATTCTCCTCCAATAGTTTGCATGTATTGCCATTTTCTAAGTATTTTTCACTTCCTTATTAACTACTATTAGCTGATCCTCTGATAAGTTTTCATGGATAGGCAGGAGCTGATGCAATGCATATATGTATAAAACGGAGTTAACTCTGTAAAGCAGTGGTTTCAAACAGAAATAATGTCACTATTCCATGTTGCTGTGCCAGGCAGACATACAAGCTCAGTACTAGAAACTCTGTGGCTACTGTACAACAGACACATGCTCTATAAAATGCTCTCTTATCATGAATAAATACTTTGTAATAGCTTATTTGGAAAAATGACACTTAAATTAGGACTTCTGTCATTTTATCTACTAAAGACAACCCACGCAGCCATTAAAAAAGTACATCATGGGAATGAAAACAATTATGAGTTAAAGAGCTGACACCAAAAGGATGCCTCACTCCCTACTTCTACCCTTGGTAAAAAGAAAATATTCACTCCTTTCCAATGAGTTAAACTACCTCACAAAGGGGTCTGACAAACACTAGAGCCAGCACAAGGTAAGAGCAGGAACAAACAAGAGAAGAGTAGGAGCTTCTCCTTTCAGCAGCAGAAGGCTTCTAAATTGCTTCACCATGTCCCACATAAAATCCTGAAGCCATTCCCTACGACTAAATTTAGAGAAAACACTATTCAGCACTTCGAAATGCCTCTTTCTGGATTTGCAGCATTGGTAAGCAGTTTTGTTTGTTTTTTTTTTTCAGTTCAGGTGATCCAAGAAAATTTGGAGCTTACAATGCCCTTCTTAAAAACTTGGTATTTCATCGATAGACAGATAGTGAAGTAAAACTTTTGAAAGTCTTTCTACTTAAAAACCATTACTTTTTTTCTCATAAATTTAAGCACATCTCAGTTTTTACACAATTTAGCATACTCTGACATCTTACCTGGAAAACACCATAGAGCATCCTTCTGCACTGGCCTTGGACCACGGTGGTCTGTAATAATCCACTGCATGCTGCTATCCATTGAGTTACTCCAGACTGGCAGCTCTAGAAAAGAAAGAAGAATGATGATGAGGAGCATCTCAATAACCCAGAAGCGGCTTAGCCCTCCTCCAGCTTCCACAGATTTTACTGATTCCCACAACAACCTCCAGATTAAACTCCAAATTTGTACTTGAAAAAAAGCAAAAATGCTGATTAAAAAGAGAGAAAGTTCACCTTTGAGAAAAGCACATAGTAAGTGTTTGAAGGCAGAAACAGAACAATCAAGGGAAATAGTGGGCTGTTCACATGATAAAGCTACACCACATATTTTACACCGGCAGAATAAATTGTTTAAGAAGAACTATGCAACTGACCAAACGATCTGTAAGAAATCCTCATCGAATTCCCTTGCCACATTTTGCTAGGCATCTTGTTCCTAGCAAACAATAAATATGTAAACAGCTTTTACCCATCTTTCTGTCTTACCTAACTGGGGTATAACGAGTGCTTTTAATATTTCAAAAGTATACGAGGTCCCAACAAGCATCAGTAAAGATATTTATTTTCTCTCATTCATGAAAATTATAGAAAATAAGGAAAAGAGTGTTTCTTGTCATCTGTGCTTTCACTGACTTGTAATATTCAAGAAGGAACTACATTTGCCTTCTTTATACATGGCCTATGTTAATACTGGGAAAAATATATATGTTTAATATTAGAGTGGGTAATATAGCTTCATCTTTTAATGGGACACAAAGATGATAAGGTAAGTGGAACATCTGACATATGAGGAGAGGCTGGAATTGTTTAGCAGGGAGAACCATGGAATCATAATGGTTGGAAAAGCCCCTCAAGATTGAGTCCAGCCGCAAGCCCTTCGACGCTATCCTGCTAAACCATGTCCCTGAGTGCCTCATCTACACCTTTCTTGAATAGTGCCAGGGATGGGGACTCCACCAGTTCCCTGGGCAGCCTGTTCCAATGCCTGACTACTCTTTCTGTGCAGAAATATTTCCTAATGTCTAACCTGAACCTCCCCTGGCGCAACTTGAGGCCATTTCCTCTGGTCCTATCTCTGGTTATTCTGGAGGGCCTAAGGGAGACCTTACCCAAGTGTGTAAATACCTGACTGGGGGGTGGGGAGAGGCAGTGAGGAAGGCAGAGCCAGGTTCTTCTCACTTACGTGCAGTGAAAGGACAAGGGGAATGAGTCACAAATCAAAATACAAGAAATTCTGTTTAAGCATAAGAATAAAATCTCATTCTAAGGGTGATCATATACTGTAGCAGGTCCCTCCGTCCTTGGAGATATTCAAAAGACTCCTAGACAAGGCCTAGCGCAACCTGCGCCAGGTGAGCCTGCTTTAAGGAAAGGGCTGGGATGAGATGCTCTCCAAAGGTCCTTTCCAACCCCAGCAATCCTGTGGTTGTGTAAAACATGCCAATACTCCAACTCAAAAGCAGAAGATCTCTCTAGATCAACAAACTTTTGCCAGAACCAAGGGAACACAACGTGGACACCTGCAGCACCCCATGTGGTCCCCAGACACAGAACACCAGACATTCCCCAAAACTATGATCCTCG